CCCTCCCGGCTCAGCGGCAGTGGGTACGGAACGGATTTTACCCTGACCATCAATAATGTGGAACAGGAGGATGCTGCTTATTATTTCTGTCAACAGGATGATAATACACCTCTCACAGTGCTTCACTCTGTTACAAAAACCTCCAGATGCCCTCAGTGGGATCCTCTCGGCAGCTACTGAAAATGTCCAATACGTGGAACCAGGTGGCCATCAGCCTTTATTAGGTTTCTCTATCATGCGTGACTCACTTCCTTTTCCTGTTTCTGTAGTTTCTACTGCCCCCAAGGCTGTGCCTGACATTTCTGACATGGTAGTGTAACAGCCTTCACCACCTTGGCCAGCTGCACCAATGACCTGGCTTTAAAATTTCTCACGGTTCAGTCTGCATCTTTTGGCTTTGAAATTTCTCATGGTTCAGTCTGCATCTTTTGTCATGCATATCCAAAGACCAAGGTGAATCCAGCTTAGGTTCCAAATGGTAGCATTAAAGGAAACTTCCCTCTCCTTCTGAGCATTCTCACACTCATGCGACGGTCACCCTGACTCTTTCCTTCCCCACTTAGTGTGCACCTGCTCCTCCTCAACCCGCAGTCCAGGGACATGGAGAAAACAAGAGAGAGAGGAGAAACACCTGTAGAATGGGGGCAGGTCTCTCCTTAGACTCCCAGAAGTTGCCTTTCATCCATTTCATGTTGCATAGGTGCACAGACACCATCCTGTCTAGGTTTGTGTAAGTGCACCAGTGATGTTCCCACAGTGACAGATTGGCAGACGATGCGGTACTCAGAGTGTATCCCTGCTGGGAACCCATGACTTGAGGTGTCTTTTTGTATTTCTACCACTGCTTTTTTACTCTGTGCTCCTGAGACCTCTGACTATCACGCATAGCTCTGTGACTCACAGTGAGGCAAAGGACTTTTGCAATCACACATTTTCTGGCAGGATCTACTTAGACTCAGGTACTTGATTCCCAGGGAGGATGAACAGTGCTCAGAGAGGACACTTGTATTCTGAGTGCTGACTAGAGAAGGCACCAGGGATGGCCAGGCCTTGGTCCATAGTCAAGAGCTATGCGTAGAACTTATCGTCTCAGAAGGGGAAATAGGCACAGGGGAGCAGGTACAAAACTCTAAAACTTGTTGGTCTAGACATTTTGCAACACCCTCAATATTTTCTACTTGGTCAATTGTCAAGTTTTTAAAGGATAAGGATTTGCTTTTCATTCAGTGCACACACTGCCAGCACACTGGAACTGTTGAGGAACTTATCTATCCCCTGGTTCTTGTTTCTTTCTTTTCTTCTGAGGATCTTCAACAGTCAACTTAGTCCAGGTTCCATTAGAGGGCCACTTTGAAGACACCCACACCCAAGAAGCAGGGACCATGACCCTCACAGCCTCTGAGGGAGAAGCAGGTGGCCCTGAGGAGGAAGAGGAGGTTTTTGTTCTGGTTTGTTACACAGTGTGAATGGATTGCTGCTCCACTGTTGGCAGTAGTAGTTAGCAAAGTCTTCAGTTTCCACTCTGCTGATGGTGAGAGAGAAAGAGGCCCCAGACCCACTGCCACTGAAGCGGGCTGGGACTCCAGAGGCTAGATTTGATGTGCCATAGATGAGGAGCTTTGGAGGGACTCCTGGCTTCTGCTGGTACCAGTGCAGGTAGTTGTTGTTTACACTCTCACTGGCTCTGCAGGTGATGGTGACTGTCTCTCTCTGGGAAACAGCCATGGAAGCTGGAGACTGGGTCAACACAATTTCTCCACTAGATGCTAAGATCACAGAGAAAAAAGAAAAAAGAAAAAAGAAGTTAGCAGAGAGAAAGCGAGATTTAAGGATGTCTTCTTGCTTATAATATGCTGTCTTACAATAAGACAAAAAGAGAAAAAAAGACTAAATCACCCATGGGAGAAAAGATCCTGTGTTTAGAGCTTCTCTTTCTTACCTGTGACACTGAGCAGCAGGAAGCTGAAAATGTAAGCGTGAAAGCCCATGATGTTGGCTGAAGCCTGTCATAGGCTAAACACATCTCCTCTAGGGGTGAACTCCCCTTAAAGGCAACTCTGAGCACCTGCTGGTTTCTGAGGAAGAGATATGCAAATCAACAGAGTGTAGGTTAGGAAGGCCTTCGCTGATTAGTCCACACGGAAGGTTCTCGGTTGTTCTCGGTTGTTTTTCCAAGGTGTGCCTATACCTGCTGCCAACATCACCTATGCTGTGTCCACACGTGCCTCATTTGACCTCGTTATCAAGGAAAGCTCTCCAGGAGGTTGAAGTTCCGTGATGAGAGTCTGCTCAGGGATGGCTACACGCAATGACCATTAGCCAGGCCCAATCCTCTCACACATACTCCTCTTTCCTCCTGTTGCTGCTCAGCTTCATGAACCCTGTGCACCCACAGACATCTCCACAAATGCCTCTGAACCCGAGAAGTACTGGGAAAACTCAGATCCTGAGTTATCGATTCCCATTTTCAAGAGCTGACCTAAGGACCACTCCTCAGTGGTCCTAAAAATATGCCTTTAAGGGGCTGACTCTATGGCCTAGTACTTAAGGGAGACAGATGCCAGGTTAGCAGCTTGAAAAACATGCTGGGTGCATGTGCATGCATGTCCCAAATCCCTAGAATGGAGAAATGGAGAAGGCATTATTATGTGACCATGCTCCATGGGGGACGGGGTGCTTTCTCCCTGTCTCTATCTCTGTATCTTAATCTCTCTCTCTCTGGTGAGCACTTACACCCCCTCTCTAGCAAATTGTAAAAAATAAGATTGCTAGGGACCAGCAGTTAGCGTAATGGCTATGTTGCTGGACTCCCACATAGTCGACTGCGGTTCGAGTCAGGGACCCGGTGGCTTAAACTCACACCAGGTGCGTGTGCGTGCGTGCCCAAGATCCCGAGAGGAGAATGGAGGAGAAAGGATTGCAGTGTGGCCATCCCCCTGGGGCGTGATTTCTCGCTTTCTGTCTCTCTGTCTTTCTGGCGAGCTCATGTGCCCTATAGCAAAAACCCCTCCAAAAAAAAAAAAAAAAGATTGCTTTAAGTACCCTGGACTATTATGTAAGACATGCCATGGATGTTTATTCAGAATAGTGTGGGTTGGTGTCAAAAAGGGGTACCTACTCTTATTTCAGTCAGTGGTAATTACAGTCAGCAAATAACTGACAAGGGTCACTTTAAGCATATCCTAAGGGATTCTGTGAACTTTTCTTTTGAATCTCACCGTCTAGTCTGTCTGAGATGCCATGTAGGGTAGTGTACTGAGGCTGTCCTACCTTCCAGAAGGATGCAAGTTGCTTTGGAATGCTTTAGGTCTTTCAAAATTAAAATTCATATTGCTTCAAACAATAACACATTTCCAGCTATGATCTTTGTCAGAGAGAGAAACTATGAGTTTTACAAATGTGTGAAACAGGGTATCTAGGTTTGGATGAAGAAAGGGAGTTGGCCCACTGAAAAAATGGACTTTAAGCCAGGTTTACAAATGTCAACAGCTAAAGAGAATGAGGGAGAGAGCATGGAACCTTACTGAAGGCCGGAGACCTAAAACTAATCAATGAATTTGCCTCAGTGTGGGGGAGACAGGATCTGTTTGCTCAAACCTGAAAATCAGGGCTATGTGCCACAGACTCACAGGTAGAGAAGTCATTGCACAGTATCCTAATTAGAATAGGGAACAACCAGGGCTGGCAGGTGGCGCGGTGATTAAAGGCGCTGGGCTCCCACATGGTTGACCAGGTTCAAGTACTGGACCTGGTGGCTTGCTTTCCCACTTTCTCTTTCTCTCTCTCTGCCTCTCTCTGGTTGAATTAAAATAAATAAATAAATAAATAAATAAATAGAATAGGGGACAACCAGTTCCCACATTCCACATATTTCATTTTTCTTGTCCCTAGATGCTGGAGCTGAGGAACCCCATGTTCTAGAGCAGAGGAACCCCTTTAGCAAGATAAGATAATGCAAATACATTAGGTGTGATTATACAATTATTTGATTTATTTTAGACTATGCAGTTTTCTAATTGCTGTCGAGTTTCATCAACATGAACTTATGCAACCCTAGAGATTATTCTAATTCTTGAAAGGAGAAGGATTTAGCATGGAAGAACTGAAAGTAGTGGTTATATTTGGCAAAGATGTAGGAACCACGCTACAGCCTATCTATCCCTCATAGTACAGCTAAAAACTCCGGAAGGATTATAAGAAGAAACTGCCTGAGGACCCCCAAAAGTAAACACCAACAGCCAGACATTGGAAGGAAGGCAAAATGTGAAAAACAACCTATTGGCAGTGAATTTTGTGAGGATTATTGGTGCTGATTGTTCTTCCTTATCATTTTTTAAAAATAAAGTTTTATTTCTCCCACGGTGAGACAGAAGAGAGATGGAGAGACAGAGAGACAGACACCCTCAATAGGGTCTCAGCAAGCCTGGATCATGGATGTGTGTGTGCGACTTCCAGTGAGCTCAGCCTGGCAGAGCGGTGTGTTATTGCTACGCCACCATATGGTCCTGGTTGGTTGTCTCTTTGCTAAAGTTATCTCTCATTTTTGGTCTGAGGGTGGCCTCCCCTGAGCACCATCATAACAGGATGCTCAAGAAAATCTAGGGAAGCTCTCTTTCCAGACACGGGACTAGGAAGAGCAGCTACTCTAGGGGAGGAGTAGAGGAATTGCCTCATCTCCCACCTCAAACGTGTTTTGTTTCCTTGTTTTGGGAACATTCAAAATCCTCTCTTCTAACATTTTTGAAAGATACAATAAATCGTTGTGACATATAAGAAAATCCTTGTTTCATTTTCATTCCTTTCCCCTCTATACCTGTCATAAATCTTTCAAATCAAGATTCTTTATTTTTAATTGTTTTTAAAGGTTAGTTCCTTTCTTTTATTAACTCATAAACAATTGTCTTCTGGTTTGTTGAAACAGTAAGTCAGACAACATTTGCCACAATAATGTCTGTCAAAATGGCTGGCCATCAAAACCCCAGCACCACATTCATCTGAAGGGCACTCCCGGCGAAGGCGGCTCATGTTGCCATTTTCATCCACCTTATAGTATTTCAGGACAGCCAGCTTGACCTTCTTTCTCTTATGCTTATTCTTCTTGGGAGTGGTGTAAGACTTCTTCTTTCTTTTCTTAGCACCACCAGGAAGTCTCAACAGAAGATGAAGTGTGGATTCCTTTTGGATGTTGTAGTCAGACAGAGTACACCCATCTTCCAGCTGTTTGCCAGCAAAAATCAGTCTTTGCTGATCAGGAGGAATTCCCTTCTTCTCCTGGATTTTGGCTTTTACATTTTCTATTGTATCCGACGGTTCAACCTCGAGGGTGATGGTCTTCCCTGTGAGGGTTTTTACGAAAATCTGCATATTGGTGGAGATCCCACCACAGATGGTGGATCAGATAATATTCTTTATTAATAACTGTTTCTCAAGCCTGAATGAGTTTCAGAATCATAAGAGCAATGTCAAAAAGTACATTCTTCACAGGATCAGAAGATGGTGTAATGGTTATGTTGCTGGACTCCCATGTAGTTGACTGCAGTTCGAGTCCCAGACCTGGCAATTTACTTAAAACTCACCCTGGGCATGTGTGCGTGTGTGCCCAACATCCAGAAAGGAGAGTGGGGGAGAAGGGATAGTGGCAAGGCCATTCCACCGGGAGGTGATTTCTCACTTTTTGTCTGTCTCCGTCTCTGTCTCTACAGTGAGCACATATGTCCCATAGCAAAAATGTCTCTAAAAAAACACAAAACAAAACAAAACAAAAAACAAAGTGAATTCTTCATGTACAAACTGGTTTCAAAAATCAATGTTCACATATGTCCTATAGCAAAAATGTCTCTAAAAAAACACAAAACAAAACAAAACAAAAAAGAAAGTGAATTCTTCATATACAAAGATCAATGTTCCCAAACTTGTAATGGGAGAGCTGCATTCTTTTTTAATTTTTTAAATTTTTAAATTTCTTATTTGCATTTAATTCATATATAGCACACAATGTGGTGTTCTGAAGTTTGCATGTATTATAATGAAACCCCTAGTGAGGCTCCAGTTGCTGGAAGTGCTAGTCAGCAAACATGCATTAGAAGGCACGTCGCCTTTTCACTGCATGTGCAGGATGTGATACAGCCATGGAACAAAAGGAGCAAGTTCCGCGCCATCAGGCACAGGGAAGACTTCCCTCGCAAGAGATTGAAGCATGTGCATTCTTTTCCCTCAAGACGTAATCGGAGCTGTGATTGGTTCAGTAATATAAATCCGTCTGTTTACACAACAAAAGTTGAAGTGAGGCAGAAAACAAAACAAAGCAAAACAAAACCTTGAACCAGGGAGAGAAAGGTCCATGACAGGCTCTTACAGAGTCCTCACAGGCTGGCTTCCCTGTGTAAAACATTCAGGACAGGCTAACCTACTCGGTCTTGGGACTTGCATGTTCATTCATTCATTCATTTAAGATTTTTTTTTTTTGAGAGATTTTCACTGTAGGGCGCGTGCGCTCGCCAGACAGACAGAGAGAGACATAGAGACAGAAAGCGAGAAATCACCCCCCAGGGGGGATGGTCACGCCGCAATCCCTTCTCCTCCATTCTCC